GTTTTGTGAAAAATGCCACGATTTATTTAATGAATAACATGTGAAGCCCCATGGCAGGGGGGTTGGAACTGCGTGATCTTTAAGGTCCCTTCCAACCCAAACCATTTGAAAACTGTTGAATCAGAAGTTGCCTCAATAGAATCGCTGATTCATCATTCTGAGGCTCATATGAAGCCACTTTGACTGACACCACCACGAGAATAAGCCAGGGCCATCTCCAGAAATCCAGAAGGGGAAACTTGCTGCCTTGCGGTATTATCCCAACACAGGACTGTTTTGTGTGGAACGAGCTGCAGGTTCAGTACAGCAAAACCTTCTCCCCTCAGCATGGCCACGAAATTTTGCACGCCTTGAACATTCCCCCCTGCCGTCAGCTCTGAGCTCCACCACTGAGTGCCCAGAGTGTCCCTGTGCATTGCAGGGTCAATGGTCAGGGTCAGCGGCCTTTCCATCTGCCCGTGGGAACCTGCAGTGCCTTCAGTCCACGCCCTGTTTTAAGGGAGCTGGTATTTGAGGCATCTAGGGATGCAGAAGCTGCCCCTTTGCTGCCTGCAGCCCCCTCCCCGGGCAGGAGCGCCGTGCAAGGGACACTCTTACAAGGGGAGCTGAGCATGTTTTGCTGAACATGTTTTGTTTTGCATTAATTTATAATTCTAGGGCTAGTGTTTGGTTTGGAAGCTCGAAGCCGTGCTCGAGCCCAGCTCTAGAGCAGGCAGTCGTGTAATAGCCGTTTAATTCCCCTGCACTGTAATCTGATGGTGGGATGTGCTCCCAGGCTGCTTTTAGGTCTGACTGGGGAACGAAATCAATCACAGGACGCACGTTACAAGGAAAGCGCTGTTGGTGTCAATTACCTAAACTCTGCGAACGTAACTCTTCTAATTTCCTGTTAAATCAGTAATGTTACCAATCTCAGTCTATTATTTTAATTAGGACTGTGACTGCAGTTGCTAGGAGCCGAGCGAGCGCAGACAAATGCGAATGTGTAATTAGTCCCACAAACGAGTGGCAAGTTGAATGTGTCAACATCATGGATAGTTACAACATGGGGTGCAGCGGGAGGCCAAGTGATTTGGGCCAGATTCTGATCTCACTGGCCTCAGTGCCAGCCCAGGAGGCCCCGCTGAGGTCAGCACTACCCTGGACCTGAGCTGGGCTGAGGGAATCTGGATCTGGCCCCTGGTCATCACGGCTTCTTGGATCTTCACCCTGGGTTATTTTTAAAATGTCTGATGTCCCATCTTGTTTGATTAATTTATTTTTTTTTTCTTGCTATAACGCCTCTTCAGAGCCAATTACCCTGCAGTGAACACTGCAGTCAGGTTAGCTGAACATGGGTGTTCCCAGCGCCAGTCGGCACCAGATTCTAGCCTTCCCCGGCGACCAGCGCTCCTAGGGTGGGTATGGAAATGCTTGGCTCCCTCCTCTCCCTTCCTAGCTGTGAAAGAAACCTCTCAGCTTCTGTCACATCTGACTGCCTCATGCATCCCAAAAACAGCCGTGCATTGACAAGGGAGACAGGCGTACCGACAGCAGAGCAGCGTTAGCTACCGACCTCGTTGAGAAATACAGAATCCCTGCCTAAATATAGAGCTGAACGGGGAGAGAAAACAGTGTGGCATTGCAGATCCATCAAAATTAAGAATGAAAATCTGGAGCTGCTGCTCACTGACGACCCCCCGGCTGCTCACAGCGAGCGCCGTGTGCCTGGAGGTCCAGCCTGCCGCTGGTATCCGACGTGGAATGGCACAGGAGAGGGAACACTGCTTTTATTAGCACTTGGCCATCAGTCAGCCGTCCACGCTCCACAAATAAACGAACAGGCTGGGTGCATGTCATCCCAGTTCACGTGTTACAGAAATAACACTGGACTGGAACCAGAGTTAACACAGCTGAGGTTTGGGATGTGGCTGATTTGGAGAGAGGGCAGATGGCAAAGCCTGGTTGGGCTATATCTGCTCTTGGAGGCAAACCCGATTTACAGCTCAATCCATCTTCTACACTCTAATTTCCCTGCTTTAGTAGGTCACTCTCCCGCTTCACATGGTACTTCTTTTGGAACAAATTGACTAGGAAAAAGTCAAGGGTTTAGTGTATTGGATGGACTGAATCAGCCGCCTTTCCAAGACAAAACCAGTATAGGGATAGTATGAAAAGAGCAAGTACCTTGAGGGTTTTGTGTGAAGGTTATTCCCAGGGGACCTGAGGACCATGCAGTGATACTGTGGCAACACGACCATTGCACCATTGCGTGTCCTGGTACCTCATCTGGGGCTGGCTGTGGCTTCATGCTCTCACTCACAGGTTGCTTGGGCTGGGTTGGGCTTTTCCTCCTCTGTTGTGACATTTAAACAGAGGCCTGGCACTGTTATTGGATGCATTAAGCTTTGAGCCCAGTTCCTCAGTGATGGAGCCTCTGGCGCTGCCCTGCAACAGCCGCAGGAGGTGCCTGACCCGAGCCGTTGTTTTCTTCCCACTTAGTTTCCTCTAGTCCTGCAGGAAACCGCTTTAACCAAAACCACACTGCATGTGTGTTATATAACAACAGTCCGTTGTTGCTGTCACCAGTGGGTTGTCAGGCCCTATCCCAACACTCGTGTGTCCTTGTGGCAGAAAACCTTCTGATTAAAGTCTGCCACAGATGTGCAAAGATACCCTTAGCTGTAAGATTGTGCAACTGGCTTGTAATGTGCATGTTAATAAGGCTATTAAGGTTTACAAATATTCTGCTCTTCCTTACAGTTTATAATTTAATTAATTGCCAGTTAATTGTCTTATTTTCCCCCTGTGATTGATGTCAGTGAGTGGGATTAGGCAGCATCAGATGACAGAGGAAGGAGGAATGAATGCAGCATTCCATGATGGTATGAGAGGAGATGTTTTTATGGACAAATCCTTTCTGACATGGATGAATACCTCAATGAGATATCACAGAGTATCAGCTCAATGCATATTGTAATGGGATCATTAGCGAAGGTACCAGCTGTGTGAGGTTTGTATTCACAACCCACGAGTAAGTAACGGGGAAATATTGGCTCCTTGGAAATGTTTGCCAAGCATAAATCTTTCCGTTTTTTTTAGAGAGCTGGTGCTCAGTTTACATAAACTGGGAAATAATTCTCTTAAGACTTGTGGGACTGAAGTAGCTTCACCCCTTTTTTTAATGAAGGAAGAGAATCTAAACACAGCCCTATTCAGCAGTATTTTTCCATGGGGAAAAATTAACAAGGAGGGTCTTCCATCAGTGTTTGTGAGCCAGGCAATGGCTCTGACCCTAGAAAAAGAGGCATCGTTATTTCTAAGCAGGGAAGGTGGGATGGCTAAGCAGACACTGTATCTTCTTCTCTGCCAGGATTCTGAGTCTCTCACCAGGCTTATTCACACTCTGCCCACCCCCAGATGCCTGTTTGATGGACAGGTCTGTGCATCACGGGCGTCCAGACGTGCTGGGAATATCATTCCCTCAAGATGCTGTTGCCTGTAGCCACGTTGGCTGAGCGGGTCACCGAGCTTGGGTCAGCTCTCAAACATGGAGTATGAACTCGGAGATGCTGCAGGAGGAACTTCAGAGCTTTTGCCTTCCCTGAGTCATTCTGGGTGACCACAGGCAGCCAGCTCTGGGTGGGAATGGTTTGCTGTTAGCTCCCAGAGCCTGCAGTGGTGCCAAGCAAGGGGATCTGAGGTAAACAAAAGCTCAGTCTTCTGCGACTTTTGACCGGACTTTGATCACATTTCAACGGAATAACCCTGGAGTGATTCCAGTGGCTTTGGTGTGAGCAGGATCAGACTGTGAAACTGGGCTGCACAGCAAACAGCCTGAGTGTTCCTGTTGGCGTGGTTGAACCCCTGCTTAAATTGTCACGAACTAACGGGCCATTTCTGAGGCTGTGATGGGAACAGGGAGCCAGACAAACCCCATCTGTCTCTTTTAATTCATTCCTTCCATTTTGGGGACTTAGCCTTTAGAAACAGCTATCAGTGATTACATAAAAGAGATTAGCCAACATTTCTGCATAAATCAAGGCCAGTGCAAGATGTTTCCTAAGTGTGTTGCGAAACCTGGGGCTGGTGGAGGACAAGTTCCTCCTGCAGCGAGTCTCCCCACGCCCAGTGTGGCCGGTGGTGCAGGGGCTCGGTGGGATCGAGGGCAAAACCTTCCTGCTTCTCAAAATGGCCTTTCACACAAAAAAACTTCTTGAAGAAAAGATGTGCATGGTGGGGCATGGTCTGCCCGGGGGTTGTCTGGTGTGGGTTTTTTCACAAAAGCAGATTTTCTATCCAAGATACGTGATGGAAACAATGAAATAAAGGAAAGGGCTGGAGAACCTCGTTGTAAACCAGATCTCCATGTGTGAATTCAAATCAATCTCGCTGCTGAAGGAAGAGCCAAACCAGAATGTGTTACATTCACTCTTTTAGCACAGTTGCTAAGAAAATGTCTTGATGTGAACACTGTTGGATGACTCAACAAATCTTTTTTGTTGGTGTTGTTTCTTTTTTCATACTGAGGCAATTTCATAATTTTTCCTCTCTTTGTTGCTCTGTTAACATGCAGGGTGAGGTTGTCGCAAGGTCAGGGAGTTGGAATTTCCCTTCCAGTGTTGTCTTACTTCTCCTCCCCATTTTTTCTTGCTTTTTCTGCTGCAGGTCTGAGCAGATCTATAAGGAGGTTGTTGGGGGAAGGCTCAGCCCTTCTCATGCATTCGATCTGCTCTGGGTAGTGCCAGTCCCCTGATGGGAGAGCACCTGACTCGGCGTTGTCCTTCCACCCCATCATCAATATGTCTGCATCCCAGCTTCCCTCGTGAGCTTTAAAGCCAAAAATACCAAAAGCAGCCTCGAGTTTTTAATTTCTTCATTTTTGAGGAACTGAACTTGAGGCAGTGCAGCTGAGTTTCAACAGGGCCAAACACCAGTAGATCCCATGAGCAGCTGAGCACTTACTGCTGCTTAAAATCAGGCGTGAAGTGTCTTTAATGGTATTTATTGTGTAGAGAATTGTTCTTTGAACCTGAGCAAGACCTGGGAGAAATCAAAGAAAGGGGGATTCACACTTTTGTTTTCAGGTGGGAAACTGAAACAATGTGAAATTTAAGCTCTGCTATTTAAACGCATGCTGGCTCCTCATGATGAAACCAGCTGCCCAAAGGCATTTAGTAATAGTTTTTTAAAAAGCACAAAGATGCTTATTTCCTACTGAAATGTGCGGGAAACACAGGCCCAGGAATAAATCTGAAAACGAAGCTGGTTATCTTTCTTCATCCTTTGATCTCTAACATCTTTCAAAATCTGGCCTCCAAGTGATGTGCCCAAGGATGCACGAAATCAGGCACTGAATCTTTATCTCCTGCACTTGTGCGTCTCTGCACTACAATTCACAATGCAAATACATTCCTCCTCGGGCCTAGTCCTGGCTAAGGAACTCAAAAAGACTAATCCCAGAAACAAGGGTCGTGGACAGGCATTCACAATTGCCCTGCACAGGCACCCTCCTCATTTCCTCCCGTCCAGGTTGCAGCTGCATTTGGCCCGTGATTCTCCCCAGATGTGAACTTAAAGATCTATCCCAGTACTTGACCTACAAGGAGGACCATGGAGCCAGTCAATTCTAAAGCAACAGCCACACAGAATCTGAGACCTTCTCATGCTGGAAATACTGCAGTGAGGAAGGAGAGCGCCTGCAGACACCACCCGCCTCTGTAGTGAAGGGAAATCTGAAGTTTCCCCTCTGCTTTTTCGTGCATAACAGCATCTGTACGCCTCATTTCCATCTTCACAGCTCCTGTAATTTACATAATGAACATTTGCAAAGCCTGAGATCTGGGTTCACTTTGTACCACATTTAGTGTAGATGACCTTCAACGCACCATCAGAAAAGTTTCCCAGGCAATTTTCCCGAAGGGGATGAATGTGAAACCTAAGATTGTCAGGAAAGGAGAAAAGGGAAATAAAAGCAGATTTCTGAGATATCTGTCATTCAAAGATATATTTTCTCTTCTACGGCAGAACAAAAATATTTGACTTTAAAAAAAGAAAGGAGTTCTGGCTTTAACAACTTGCTTCTTTAAAGCAAGTGTTTGTATCAGGTCCCTCAATAAAGTGACTTTAATTAGGTTAGCCTTCCTAGATCTGCAGAAGGAATTTCCTTGATAAAAATGCATTTGAAAAAATGCTAAGCAGAGGGGAGGAAAAAAACCCAGAGAGGCAATTTTATTTGCATTCCTGCATAAGCAATGGCTGTAAAATGAGTTTATCCACCTTGGTGCCCTAATCAGGTAATTCATCTGAAAAAAAGTCTGGTGACAAGTAACTGGCAATCTAGCAGAGATTCAGGATTGAGGAGGAATCCTGACCTCAAGGGATGGGAACAGGACATAAGGATGAGAACAAGCAGCTGAAGCCACTTATGGCTCCTCTGAAGGTGCCAGCTGCAGCTCTGATTGTGCCTCCTGATAGTGCTCCAGCAATCGCAAGGGGTGAAGCAGGAACTGACCCATTTTTGCCTCTCCTCAATGAACTGTCCTCTTCATCCCTTTTGCAAGTGTCAGCAGAGCTCATCTGACAGAGTCCTCAGAAGCCGCATCTCCAAATTTATATCAGACTTTATGTTACACTTAATGGGCAGAAGAACGGAAACTTCTGTAGGTGTTGCTTGGGTTCTGGATAAGCACAAGTCAGGGATCATCTCTCGTCTGAGGGGGTGCCTGTGAGTTTGCTTTTTGATTGCTGTTTGGGCTGTCACACTGCTTACTGCTCAGGGAAGCAGTGGAGGACGCTTTGAAAGAAGAGATGTGTTTTGTAACTGACTCAGGACTCCTGTCTGTACAGAAAATGAATTGAAAGCTGAAATACAGAGACTTATTCTGGAGATGACGAAAGGTGCTCATGTCAGCTGTCATAAGACTCTTCAGACAGAATGAATCACAAACCCACCATGCTGGAAATGCTAAAGTAGATAAACCTGACACTGTTCCTGTTGCTGTAGGCCAGGCATGTATGAAGTGTTGCTTTACATAATAAGCTTGAGAAGGCAAGCGAGCTTTTCAGACTCCTTTGTGCTTTGAAAATAGTGCCCCGTGTGCCTCTTAGAGCAGGTAGGTGTGTTTGCACACTGGCAGGTAATTACAGTGTGACTGGTATTAGCTTGTATCTTCTTACTTCCCATGTGTTGCCAGTGGCTTATCCATGTATCCTGTGTGATTGGTGCTACTGTTACAGGGCCAACATATAGGTGAAAATTAGAATCTGGATGACATCTCCACCAGCTTGTTTCTTTTAGTGTGGTCTGGCTCTTGGACTCCAGTCATCATCTTGGCCTGCAGACAGATAATTGTATAATTAAGTATTTGGAAGACAGGCTGCATATTGCAAACTTTCCACCTTGGGACCAAAAAGGAAAGGGGGGGCGGGTTGGAGGGAGAAGAGGAATGCTGCTGTCCAAGGGGCCCTGGGAGGGACCTCCTGTCCTCAGTGGCTGCTGTGTCTGGCACAGCAAACAGGACTGTAAGAGGAGCCTGTGTGTGTTGGATGAGGAGTCCAGTGTAACATTATCCTGGGCCAAATAGGGGATCTCTGCAGCTCCCCTAATCCATTGTCCTAAAATGACACGAATCTGCCAAAGTCACAGTTCAGGGCTGCTGGACCTTCTCTTTGGACTGGGAGTGAGGGGGATGGGGGGGGGGGGGGCTTTTGCTTTTGGCCATAAAGAAAGGCCCTGCTTTTTTTACGCACATGCTGGAGCTGTGAACAAATGGTTAATGTAGCTGCAAGGCAGCCAGAGAAGCTGTTCCCTGGGCTTAGGAATGTTTCCTCCTTTCAGCCTGTCTTTTTTCTTTCTTTTTTTTTTTTTTTTTTTTTTTTTTTTTTTTTTTTTTTTTTTTTTTTTTTTTTTTTTTTTTTTTTTTTTTTTTTTTTTTTTTTTTTTTTTTTTTTTTTTTTTTTTTTTTTTTTTTTTTTATGGTACCATATAGTGTTTAATAATTCAATACATACATAATCCAAAATAAACACACTAATTAACCTTTGTTTTGAGAAATTTAATTAGTTAATGCTTAGTCTCTGTTCAGATTCCAAACAGTTTGGAGTGGGAAAGGTGCCACGGGGAAAGCATGGCAAAATATGTTTAATGCCGAGCACCTTCAATTATTTAAACAGTAACGTGGGCTGGACCAATTAAAAAAAATAAGTTGCTATACAGGCATGTACACGCTGAAATATCTTCATGCAGTGTTCCCAAACTCCAGCCTTGCTGCAGAATATGTGGTAAAATATATCTACACATAAAGCAACTGCATGGAGGAGGGAGTCTGGTGGCTGTGTAGCGATTCAGCTGCTTGCTGAACCCCAGAACCTCCCTGGTTGCTGAGCCCCCGGCTCAGGGCACAGGAGGGGTGAGGGTGGTACTAAAGCTGTTGTGGCGGTGACTGCCTGCCCTGCCTGGGGGAAGCTGGAGGGCAAATCCTGCCCTGTGTCCCAAATAGATGATGAATTTTTGGAAAGGTCAAACGCTGTGCTCTGACTCACCAGTACTAGTCATCTATGGCCCAAATGCCTTCAGAGTATGTTACTGTAGGATAATAATTTTAGCCAAATACTCAAGCTTTAATATTCTTTCCCAGCTGAACTGTAAATAAAATTATTTCCTAAGAGCACTTATTTGAGCTTGATTATTAAATACATTGCCAAAATCTGGTCGGTTAACATACTGCCTGCTACTTGAGCTGAAGTATCTGAAAGACAAAGAACGAAGTAAACGAAAAGGAAATCAACATTTTGCTAAATTGCATGTTTTTAAAAATCCTATAATTGAGGCTGCTACTTCATTTCCATTTGTAAAACAGATTGAGTTCCCCTTCCATCTACTAATGGATCTGGTTTATCTCTGATACTAATTGCAGCATTTGCATGGTTTGCGCAGGCTGCTGGTGACAGGACGTTTGGTAGGGAAAGTCAAACTGCTCCTGCTGAGTCCTGGGCTCTCAGTGAGGAGTAATACCTGGCACTGAGCTCTGCTGAACTCCGAGACCTTGTTCTTTCTCCTATGGCTCCAAAGTATAGGTCAATCAACCAAGATAAACTTGTTAATTCGTTGTCAGGATTATGTGCCTCAGGTCTCACTTGAGAAGCAGTGGGAAGGCTCAGGTGATAATAAAGCAACACCAGACAGTCTGGATGTTTAATTAAACTTGTCCATGCTCTCTCTGGACAAGTGACTGGGCTGGAAATGTCACCAGATCAAAGGTTGCTCATGAGTTTTGCATGTGGGCTTTCCTGCTGCACAGGGAAGTGGGGACATGTGAGGGTTTGCAGCTCATTTCTCATTCTTTCAGGTTATCCTTGGGAAGGGAATTGTGCTCTGAAGGTCTGGGGGAAAAGGAAACAAGTTTGGGTTTCTTTAAATGAATGAGCCTTTTCTTGGAACCTGCTCCAGCAAATGTGTTTGCACACACTTGAATTAAGCAATTCTGGGTGCTGGGTCTGGTGAAAACATGCTTGGCTCTTAGTTAGCAGCTGCTCAGGAGCTCAAGTATACACTTTTTATTGCTGGAGGTGAGGAGGAAAAGCAGATTTTCAGAGGATTTTACCCAGAGATGTGAGCTGGAGACCTCTATTTTCGCCTACCCCATGGTCTCTGCAGCCTTGACACTTTTCCCGGTATCCCTGTGCACAGATCCATGATAAAAGCCTCCACGATGTGCCTCAGCCTCTAACATCAGCATTCACACCAGCAGAAGCGAGCCGAGGACTCACCCTTTGCTTTCCACCATTTCATTTCACTTTTACAAACAGAGATTTTTATGTTTGTTTGTTTGGGTTTTTTTTCTATTTTTTTTAAAGTCACCCTAGGAAGCAATCCACTAGATTCCCAGGGAGCTCAGTGTGGCAGTGGGAGCCCCGGCTACAGAGTGGCCTTTGTGGAGCAGGTCCGTGGGCTCTGTGCCACCGGCGCCGCGGGGGAGAGGTTGTAATAACGACACCAGCGCCGACCAGATGTCTTGGAGAGGGTTTGGTTTCAAGACGTGCGGCTGCTAGTCCAGGAGAACGTGTAGGGGGGTTCTGCTCTAATATACATAATTTGTTTAAAAAGTTTGCAGGTGTTAGAATTTTTATTGAAGGCAGGGAGCTGAGAAATCACATCCAGTTGGTGAGGTAATGCTTGCTCTACCCGGGGAGCGCAAGCAATCTGCATTAAATAAAGGGCAGCTGTGTTGCCAGCAGAATTTTATATATATGAAAACTAATCTGAGCCATACCAAGCCAGACCTCCGCTCCTGCAAATCCTGAGAGAGAATGAGAAAATCCCCTGATTGCTCCCAGCTTTCCTCCGAAAGCTGGGGGGGACTTGCACGTCCAGTGTGGGAGTCCCTGTCCTGCCTGGCGCTGCTCCATGGTCTGCACCCTGACAGCTGGGGGGGGATCAGAGGTGCTGCTGTGATGGAGCCATCCCTGCAGCTCATCACAGGCTTTGGGGGAGAGAGAACAGCTGCTTCCTCTGTCATCACCCAACTAATGCCCGTGACGTGTGGCCCCACAGGGCCCAGGTAGAGCGGGGTCCTCGCTTCTGCTCCAGCTGCAGGCCTTTGCTCTCTTAAGCCAGAGAAAAAAGAAGGACAGCACACACACACACACCAGCAGTGGTTCCCATGGAGCTATTCAAGGGGTTTGGTTTTCTGTTTCCTCTTTTTCTGGGCTCAGTTCTGCCATATGTTGAAGCCCCAGCAGAGGTTTGAGATAATTTTTTTTTTTTTTTTTAATAGACAGGTTGTAATGTCAGGATATGAGGTTGAAAGGGCAGGTCTGAGTCTAATCTCAGATGAATTCTGAGCATTTCCTTTCTAGGTGGATGAGATCCAAGAATTTATCTCAGTTCAATAAACCCCACTTATTTCTGATGCTCATTCAAACAGACTTTGAATCCCTCGCACCCACAGACCAGGGCTGGTCATTTGGGTTCTGCACAGCTCTTCCAAGAGAGCTCAGGACATGTGGAGTCAGCAGGGGAGATATTTTGGGGTGACAGCTGAAGTGGGCTTCCTAATTTTTACGTATATTATAGGTATTATAGATTATACATACATAATGCCTGTCAGGATGTAGCCTGGGCTGCCTGCACCCCGTGCTTGGGGCAGATGGACCTGGCAGACATGAGCCCTGCTCCAGGGGTGGGGGCACAGGCTTTGCCCTCAGCACAGCCCCTCCAGGAATGTTGCACCTTACCCCCACACAGATGTTACATAAACAGGACTAAAATTAGAGCAAATAAAACTTCACAGGCGGAACATCATCCCCAGGGGCTCTCAGGGTTCCTACCAGCTGGGACTAAGGCACAGGCGTGGTGTGGGGCTCTGATGCCGGAGCCCCACACATCCCACCACGCTGCCCCCAACTTCCTCTGCAACCTGGGCCTGGGCTGAGTGAGTCCCACAGGATCTTTTGGCTGCCTGAAGTAAATTTTCTCTTATTTCCCTCCAGGCTCTCTTTTCCCCTGCTGCTGAATTTCGCTCAGCATAATGATTTCGAGGGCACCATTTTCAATTTCCTCTACGGAGCCAAAATTAATTCTGAGTTTATGCCACAGTGTAGCAGCGCTTTAAGCATCCACCAACAGTGTGCATATTTCACAATAATGTAATGGCTCCTAAACCCAAATACTGCTTAAACCACCACTGTCCTCCACTGTAAATATCAGTGATGCTTTCCTGAACCATGGTGCCAGCAGTGATGACTCTGTTGGTGCTGCTGATGTGCCCATTAAGATCTCCCCAGGATTTTATTACCCCTAGGAGCATAAGCAAGTGCAGGTGCTGGGGTTGTGGTCGGATGCTGCAGTGGGACAGGGAGAGGTGCTGGTCCTCACCTTCCTCTTTTCCTTTTCAGCCCTGTCTGCATAGGGAAGCCCCTCTCCTCTTCCTCTTCCTTCCATCACTTCTCTCTCGTCACAGCTCTAGGTAAGGGTTAGATCCAGGCAAGGAAGTTTGGGTCTGTTTTCCTTGGTCCCCTAGCCTTGTGGGCAAATCATTGAGATGAAGGTTTTTAGTTGAGTTATGACTTCATTTTATACCCCTCTGTTCACACCTCACCCCTTACAAGGCAGTTGGCCACAGGGGTTTTTTTTCAAGTAATACATATAGGTTGGGAGGACAGAGGGAAATCTGTCAAAAGAACAGATTATAAGTGATTGCCAGGCTATGGATTGACCACGTCCACTGCCTTGGGCCAGTGATTTTGACTCTGTCTAGAGAGGAGCAGGGGGGGAATTATAAGAACCCGCGTGTGCAAAAGTACACAAGCCATTAATTATGGCGACCGCCCCGCGATACGATCTCGCAAGAGCTAATGGAGCATGAGAAACCTGTGGAAAATGTTAGTGAGGGCTGTCAGGATGTTTGTCTTACGAGCTGCTCTGGATGATCTCATCTCTCCAACGTTTGGGAGGGCGAGGGGTGTGCCGGGTCAGCGGGAGCCGCGGGCAGGCGCCCCGGCTCGGGAAGGAGGGCAATGGCGTGGGGGCACGGGCTCTGCACAGGCAGAGAGAGGGACACTTGCTGTGCCCCTCTGCTGCAGATGAAAAATAGGGATGGAAAGGGTATGGCTTGAGGGCGTTTGGAAAGCATCACGTTGTGCCTTTTCTTTCTGCTCCTCTGAAACAGCCTAAATAAAATGTCACTTGGCATTGCATAACCGGGGCCTGGGGAGCAGCTCAGAGGGGGCAGCACTGGAGCCCCTGGCGAGGGGCCGCAGGGGCAGGAGGGATGCAGCCAGGCTGGGGAGTGGTGTGTTGCTGTGTGCAGAGCAAGAACCCTTTCTCAGGGGCATTCCTCCTGCTCCCACCCCTTCTCCCCACTGTGGCTCGCAGACACTGTCCCCAGAGGACCAAGTGATGACAAACAGGCCAAAAATGGTGGCGTGGCAATGCCGGAGCCAGAGGTCAGCTCGCTGTCCTGATTTATAAGAGATCTTTCCCGCTGCATCCCAGGGCTGCCTTGGCTTTTCATTCATGCAGGCGATGACGAAGGGCCATGCTTAAGCAGCATGACCGTGCTGGCACGGGCGGCTTTTAGGAGCAGGAAACCGCTCCCTTTATCCTCGCTTGATCTTTCGGAGTGAAATATGTGCAGTGCCCTTGTCAGCAGTAAGAGCCTCCTAAGGAAAGAAAGAAAGGTTAGCAAGCAGAAACAGATGTTTACCCTTAACTTCTCGCTTTGTGTGGACTGGGGAGACGAGGGGAAGGAGATTTGCAGTGCAGGAGGAAATGATCTCTGAAAGCCTGAGAAAGTCATGTCGGATCGAATCTGCCTTTCCCTTGATTTTGCTGTGGTTTTTATTTGGCCCAGCATTCTTTCTTTCTTCTTCTTATTATTATTTAAACACTCCATTCTCTTAAGGGAAAGATAATTGCTTTTTGTTTCTTCTGCCTGAGCCTCTCAACATGATTAAGATATAGAAACCAAATGCCTGGACATGAGGATGATCTAATAGGCACCGACCAGCCCGAGTCACTGTGGCCCAGTTTAAAAACATGGCACTTTTCCAGGATCTATTTGTTTCTCTTAATGCGGTGATTTGTTTTTCTATATTGCTCTCTATAATTATCACTGTGCTGTGTATTCACTGGCTCTAAGCTCGGTGTAATATAAATCTGGAATTAGTCTATTGAAGTCAGTGTCAGATACATTTCCTTTAACATCTAAACTAGGTCTTAGAGTCATTTATCCTACTGTAGCTCCAAACTAACTCCACTGAAATAAATACAGCTTCTCTCTCACCAGTGTTTTCCCAAAAAGCCCTCACCATAGTCCCTGCCTGCACTTTCTACCCTTGTGCTAAACATTAGGCTGGGGGTTAGGAAAAAATTTTCACCAGAGGAGGTGGTTCAGATTAGGTATTAGAAACATTTTTTCACTATAATAGCGGTCAGATATCGGAATAAGTTGCCCAGGGAGGTGGTGCAGTCACTATCTCTGGAACTGTTCAAGAGACATCTTGATGTGGCACTTGGGATATGGTTTAGGGGTGATTAGAGTTGATGGTTGGACTCAATGATCTTAAAAGTCTCTTCCAACCTTGATGATTCTGTGATTTTGTGAAGATAACGCCTGTGCCATCTTGCTGTGCCTTCAGACCAAGCCTTTCTTTAACCCCCCACTGAAATCTGGCTGTGTTTGCCCTTGCTGGAGGACAAAGGACAGCTGGGTCGGAGCCAGAGCCTCCCCCTGCACTGCTGGCAATGTGGGTTGCTGTTCCTTCACAACTTTAGTTCAGCCTCCCTCCAAAGCATTTTTGGATACTCCTTGGCTCAGGCTGCTCTTAAATCTGGTGCTTGAACCTTTTGTCTTCCTCTGGGCTGCCAGGGCTGGAAACGGCTTTTACAGGTCTGTGTAAAAGCCTTGGCTGCTTTGTCTCCACACATAACATGTGCCCAGTTAGGGCTGAATTGGGGTCCAATGTTTATCCTTCCCAAGATTTTTTTCAGGGGTCCAGGGGGAGGATGGGGAGGCCCTTGCACAGGCTGCCCAGAGAAGCTGTGGCTGCCCCATCCCTGGAAGTGTCCAAGGCCACGTTGGACAGAGCTTGGAGCAACCTGGTCTAGTGGAAGGTGTCCCTGACCATGGCAAGGGGGGTCGGACCTAGGTGATCGTAAAGATCCTTTGATGATCTTAGAGGTCTTATCCAACCTAAATGATTCTATGATTCTATATATGTGGAAATTATCAGTGAAAACATCATCAGGGTTGCTGTGCTGCACACAATGAGCACGGGGCTGGCCCGCTTGAGTAGGCAGACCACAGCTGGTCCCTGATGTCCCCTGGAAGCAGCCAAGTGCTCTTCTATGAATTCTGATAGACATTTCTTTAAAATAAAAAAATGTAACTTTTCAATCTCTCCCAGTTTTAGATTCAGGTAATCTGGAGAAATCCTGATATATCTGAGAGTTTTGGTTTTTTTCCTTTCTCAGATGAAGGCTGGGGACATCAATAGGTGCCCAGAACACGCCTTGTGCCTCCCAGTGTTTTCCCTAATTTTTTTTTTTCTCCAGTCACTGCACAATAAATGCACTTCACAGCCCTGTGCTGCTGCTTGATAACACAGCTGGAGAGAAGCTATTTTCTGATTTTCAGATATCGTGGTTTATCTCTAATGCTGGTTTTCACCGGCAGTTTAAGAAGTTCTTAGAAAACTCCTCAACTTCCCCCTTAGTGCTGAGATGGTAAGAGACAGATAAAACTTGTCATATAACCACCAAAAAATTTAGAGGTTTTTTAAGATGTAAACTCAGGGGCTATTATTGGGTTTTTTTTAGAGATGGCTCACCCCTACCCCAGGAGAAACAGAAATTATTAAACATCCTTTCTACTGGACTTAAACAAACGAGCAAGCCCAAACAACCAAACCGACCAAACAAACAAATAAAAGCAGAACAAAACAAACCAACCCAAAAGCCAAAGAATGTAGAGCTTTTACTGAAAAGTTGAAACTTGAAGATTTGGGGTCAAAAACTTTCAATTCAAAGCCTAAAGTTCTGATTGGGAGATTTTCTTGCTGGGTAGTTTTGTTGGCCAAGATAAAGGTCCTGTGTCACCCCGGGATGCTCTTTCAAATGGGAATTAAGACGTTCCCAGTCATGGTGCCTCACTGGGAATGAGGCTGGGAGCTCTCCCCATGAGGAAAAAGGAAGCTTTTTTTTTTTTTTAGAAAAAGAATTGCTATTTTCCATCAGACAGCAGGCCTGTCTCTAAAGATTTCTGTCACAAACCCACATTCTTTCCAGAAAACATTGTTTCTCCTGGCCACAGGCATCACTTCAGAGAACAGAGACTTTCTGGTCCTTCCCTGAGCATCCCCCAAACCAGCAATATGTAACCAGCTCCTGCTCCCTGTTAAAATTCAAACCACAGCCTTCCTCACCACTCCTTTTCTCAGATGACATTTAAACCCGTCAGCAGTTACAACTGGCGTCGTGCAATCCTTGTAACCAGTGCAAAAGTTGCACCCTGGCTTCTAAAAACAGAAAAAAAGGAAGAGGATGGCTAAGAATGGACATAAATACACCAAAACGCCCGTGTGCTGCTTTCTCTTCTTCTGGTCTGACAGGGTTTCCACTGCTCCTCCCCTTGCAAAGCTAAATAAACCCAGGCAGCCGTGAGTAATAATGTGTAATAAGCAGGGGTGAGAAATACATTCATCAGCGGTCAAATGACATGGGCAGTGTGTCACCCCTGTCCCCACGCCACGTTTGATGGAAGCTGAGGGTTGTTGTGGGTAAGGAGAGGGCGCTGGAAAGTGTCTGCTGAGAAGCTGGAGTACATTCCTGTAGAGCAGCTGGAGGGGATCCCTAAAGGGATCTTCAAAGGACCCCTGAAGGGATTCAGAGAATCACTAAGGTTGGAAAAGACTTCTAAGATCATCAAGTCCAACCATCAACCCAGCACCGACCACCTTGTTCACCACTAAACCATGTCCCCAGGTGCTATATCCATGTTTTTACTTCCAGGGATGGTGACTCCACAGCTTCCCCGGACAGTCTGTTGCAATGCTTGACAAGCCTTTCTGTGAAGAAGTTTTTCCTAATATCTAATCTAAATCACCGTGAATTTTGTCACCCATGGGCTCTGGCATTTCAGTTCTGGGCTGATCACATCCCAGCGGACTTGGGATGAGCACTCGTGTGCTTGCCAGCATTCCCTGCCAGGCAGTGTGCTCATCTGCCTCCCGAGAATGGCCAAGGCTGGAAAATCAGGTAGCTCTCAGGGAGATATTTTGTATAAATTGAAATTTCTTCCATATACAGTCCAGGTACAGGGTAGCTGGGCATGTTCCTGGGTGAACACACACAGCCCATGCTGGTCAGCACACGGCCATGCACTGATACTGCCTTGAGTCCTGAGCACACATGTGAGCCACTCGAATTGCTTTCATCTGGTACTGCCCAAAACGCGGCCACGGGTGAGCAGGGACCTGCTGTTGTTTACCTAAGGTACAAAGGGGGCTTAGACAGTTCTCTTGAGCTGCTTCCGTTTCCCCGTGATTAATATATTCAGGTCTATAGTCGTTTGTTTTTATAAACTCCACAAACAAAAACTTGATGTTTTGGTACCAAGCTCAAATATGGGAACAATTTGGTTCCCAGCGCCAGCATTTCTGATGCAAGAACTGAAAGGCGTCCAGAAATGCCGTGTTTTCACTGAACAGCCTTTGGTCCCAAGATATAGCATTTTTAAAGCATTACAGAAGCAAAAACAATCCCAGTGCCTTGAAAGCTTTTTACACTGACTCTGCTTCATGGAAACACTGACTCAGGGCCAAATGGCTGATTGTGTCGTGTGATGTAAGAAGGAGTTAGAAAGCTTAGCAGGGCATTAGAATAATGCTCTGTGTGTGTGTGTGTGTCTGTGTGCAGTGAAGGGGGGACATGGCATTTATTAGAAAGCTTTAAATCTTTTGCAGCTCTGTGTTAGTCACTTGCAAAACAGTCACAGACCCAGTTGAAAGCGATGGGAACGCGATGTGTGACAGGCTCTAAGCTGCTGAGCTGAGCTCCTGGTCGAGATCTTTTCAGTTCATTTAAAGGCTGCAAAATCTTCCTCGCTGAGGGGGGGGGGGGGATGGGGAGTAAACGCTGCTGCTGTGCAGCCAAGGGAGAAAAGGACTTTGTTATACTTCTGGAAGGGGAATGAAGGATGTAGCAATGTTCAGAGAGGCCAAATTCTGGCTTGGCTTCTGCTGTCACACTGAACTAAGGGTGGAGATTTGGGGATGGTGCAAGTCTCCCAAGGTGCAGATGCTGGCAAAGGGAGGGATGCGATGCAAGGGGAGTTCCAGCCCTGCCCCTTCCCTGCTCCATACTGGTGGGAAAGATTTTATCGTTTGCTTTATCTTGTTGTCCTGCCAGGGAGAGAAGCCATTCATTGCAAACATGAACTCTGAGATGAGTAAAAATCAGAGATGACCCGAGTGCCTGGAGGCATAAAAGCAGCTACTGAATTGTTCAGCTTGTTTAATGAAGTGGAGCGGCACAAAGACACAGTTCATATATAGATTTATATATACAACACTGGCACTTAAACAATTTATGGAGCTCACTGCAAATTTAAGATTGGGAAGCCTGGCTGCTGTCAGCTCTTAGAAAGAGATTTGGGATGGAAAGTCCTATCAGAAAAGCTGCCCTTGCTGTAGTGCTCTGATGGCAGAACATGAAGGAGCTGGGGATGTGCCAACTCATGGCTGCTGTGGGAGGTCAATGGAGCTGCTGCTTAAACCTCAGGTCTGGCCACAGTGAAGTGCCATTTGCTGTTGTCATCTTGCCCTTGGGTGGTGACTCCCTGCAGAGCTCAGGTAAGTCACTGTTCCTGCTGCACCTGCAGCACCAACAGAGCTACAAGACAGGTCTGCTGCAGATCACTCCTGTTTTCTAAATATTTGCATTCTGTACACACACACAGAGCCACGCCACAGCCATCCATGCCATCTCTTCCTTTGCAGCAACCTCGGTTCCCAGCAGTGTAGCTGTGAGTGGGCAGTCTGCTGCCCTCGCTGCCCTTGCTGCCCTTGCTGCCCTTGGTGCCTTCACTGCCCTCTCTGCCCTTGCTGCCCTCTCTGCCCTTGGTGTCTTCATTCTCCTCTCTGCCCTCACTGCCCTCTGTGCCCTCACCCAGCTCCCACTCTGCCCCTGGCACAGCTCCACGGTCTCCCCTGCCCGCCGGGCATCTGTGCTCATCCCCACACCGTATGTGGTGCCAGCCTGTTCCCGGCGTGGAGGGTGAGTAAGGCTGTCTCATCGCACTGCTCCCACCTCCAGTGAGTCATCGGCCAGGAGGAAGATGCAAGCGCTGAACTACATTCGATGCCTGTATCTGAAACACCGCGTCTGAATGATGGTGCAGGTCATTAGATCCCTAATTTCCTCTTTAATGGATTTTCTAATGCATTTGATGAATAAAGAGATGCTCAATAGTAAATAGAAATACCATTTGCAGCCTTGGACGTGAAATGGGGCCGTAATGCTGCCATTATTTATGTTTACCCAAGCCCTGTGGGCCTCACTGAGGTGGAACAGTGTGAATGCTGAAAGGACGGGGGCTGGAAGTGCAGGGCAGTGTCAGTCCGGGCCACTGCCAGAGGAACAACTTGAGTGTGCGGGCGATTTTCAGAACATGAATGATCCTATTGACTCCTGATCGCCTGTGGATACGACCTGGGCTGAATGGGCCTTGTGTTTGCAGGGAAAGATGGCCCAGAAGGACCTGAGAATGACTCCAAGCAGACATCGCTAAATGTCACTTTGTATGCGCAGTGTCTGCCCACCCCCTGACCGTGAGCTGAGACACCGGGAGGGGTCCTGGGTGCCAGCCTGGGGCTGTGCTGGGGAGGGTGAGCAGGGTCCTGCCTGCAGCCTGACCAACTCTGTGGGCTTCACTGAGCCCCTCGAGGGACTCACCCTCACTGCACGGGGGCTGCCATCCCTCCACAGCCTCCTGCCTGGGTGGGAGCTCTCTGTCCTGCTGGGTACAGCAACTCGAGCCTCTTGTTTCAGAAGCACCACGTTGGTGCACAGTAATGTGATTATACATTCACATCCACTTGTGTAAAGCTGGCAGCATCCTCAGTGAATATTTTCCTACCTCCGGTTTCTAAATGGCATCTCTGCTAACAGCCATGTATCATCATTACCAGCAAGGCTTTGGAGGATGCACGAGCAAAGTGTGATATTACTTAAACCTCTCCAAGTACTGTCTGATAATTAATCAGGCGTGGGCTGGTTATGTTTGCACCTTACTCAGTGGAGAATAATGCAACGTAACGAGGCAAGATTTTAGTTAAAATTCTCTGGTGAGCTGATCCCCCCAGGGCAGGACAGCTGTCTCCCCCTGTGTATATGTGGACACCATGGACCAGAAGGCTTGTCCTATCTTTTCCTTCCTGCGGAAGCATCAGCATCAGATAGTGCTGGGTCAGTACCAGAGGTGAGAACTCAGCCCAGAGGAACCAAGGGTCTCATCCAAAACTGCAGACCCTCAGCACTTGCTGGCCCAGACATCATTTGATTCTTGGGGTCTCATCCTGCAGCTGTTTTTGCTCCAGTGTTCTCTCCAGTAGTGCCATTATGTATTAATAAGGGACAGAGCTGGCAGCAGGAAAGGGCAGCAGAAGTACACATTTGTCTTGCTGTCCAGTAAGCCACATAACAAATAGCAATGCCAAGTGTAATCCTGCTTCAGTTAGAACTGTTGCTTTGGTTTGTCATCATTCATTGTTTGGAGTAAAGCTGCTTAATGACAGGATGTGGGAAATGAAAAGTTTTTTATGTCCTTGTAGACTTTTTAAAATAAAAATTCCTGAGCGATGAAGGGGAAGAAGGTGCTTGCGCAGGAGCCCTGGCCGGGGTGAACCTTCCCCAGCAAGGCTCAGGAGATGGAGGGTTTGCTCTCAGCTTCAAAAATAACCTGCTGTGTAAATCCAGGCAGTATCCAAGCAGTCCCTCTGCTTGCTTTGCTTACATTACACATCTGGTGCAGCTGCTCCTGCCCGGAGCCTTGCAGAACAGGACCTGCATTTTATGGGAAGAAATGAAAAATAAAAGATAAATGCCATGGACCTGTGTGGGGCCACTTCTCTGCAAAATGCCCCATGGCCAATTAAAAATTGTTAGATTTTGAACCTAAATACAGGGGAACAGAGGCAATTATCCTCATGGACCGTGAGCAAGTGGATGAAATCTGAGGTGGACAGGTGCTTGAAGAGGAGACTTCACTAAGCAACTGAGGAATGAGACAACCCCAACTCTGCCAAAAAAACTGAGGTGCGTGGGGTGCCTTTTTCATTTTTAGGTGCATTTCAATAATGATCCTCATTTTCATACAGGCCACAGTGGGGCTCCACCCCTTCTCGTGCTATTCATGTCTAGTTGATGGTGCAGAATTACCAGCGGGCGTGTGATTCTTTGCTCCCAGTGGGAACTCTCCCACGTGGGTGCTCTGCACATCAGGTAAGCAAATAGGGAACCTGATGGGTTTGGTGGGATTTTCTTCCAGGCTTTAGACTCGTTTCTGGCAGGTACAGCCCTCGAAGAGCCACCAAAGGCTAGGATGTGGCCAACAAGCCTGCCTAATTGCTAGCCCATCCCCTGCTTCACTTTGCCTCCAGAATTATTCTCTCTCCTATGTATATGTATTAAGCTATGTTCTGAACTATGTGAAATCAGTGTGGAATTTGCCTGAGGTTTCTCTCTGCTGGCCCAGGGCTTCTCAGCAGTGTAAGCAAAATTAAAGGAGGTGCTGGGGTTGCAATGAAACCATTCTTGCTTATTGGAGAGGGAGAAAGAAAGGAGTCAGGGAGCTGTGCTTTCTGCCCTCCGAGCTGCAGGAAGCTTGGGGAGTGGCTGAAATCCCTCTGGTGGGGCTCCTGCATACTTGGGATTTTCCATGTTTTACAATCTCAGATAAATGTCACCTTTATTTTTCAGGATTATTTGATATATTCTTACAATAATCTATTACCAGCAGATCACTACCATGCTCATCACCACTCTCTAGGTCCAAAAGTTGGTTTTTCTGTGGCTGGGTTTTTATTTTTTTTTTTTTGCATCCCTT